ACCTCATCCTCTCCTACAGTGGGCCTAAGGAAAGTTCTACACAGAATTTCAGTAGTAGTTGCGCAAGTGCCTAAAAAGAGGTAATACCTATGTTCCTATCCAGGACTTTGAATTATACATCCCAAAATTCATCCTTTTAATCAAGTGTTACATTGTAATCTCAATTTCATATTCAGCATCCCAAGTCTTTTTATATGCTCTAGTTTCCAAGATAGAGCTATATCCTGTTTTCATTATTTGTAAGTGTATGACCTTAAAATTAGACATAAAAGAAACTGTATTAGGCACACCAAAAGATAACGTATCCCAATAACCTGACTGCAGCAGGAAGTGAGACACAATGATCAGGATGGAAGTTTTCTGCCATGAAAGCTCATCTTTTGCTCTCCAGCTGACCTGTCCTCTGATTTCCACAAATGTGGGAGACTTGACTGCATAACTTACAGTAGTATGAAACTCTGTTCATATTCTACCAAGGCAGAAGAAACCCAGGACCCTAAATGAATGCTCAGGGTGAAGTAAGAACACACAACTTTCTGTTGTGTGTTTGCACAGAAGGGCAAACACACAGCTTTGTAGTACTCTCCAAACTGCCACTTGTTTTTAGCTCAGGGAGTTGAAAATTGAATGAGATACATATGTTTTTACTGATCTTCAGTGAAAACTTTTAACTTTCACAGTAGAATTCTTTCACTACTAGTTCTACTAGTCTGTTACCTCACTTGAAGAACCAGGTCCTTTTTTATATTTTCAACCTGAATCCTATTATACCTCATTATTATAAGAGATTATATTTGTATTTAAAGAGATACGGGACAGTGAATCCCTGTCTGTTGTGCTCAGTGCCGTCCCTGACACTGTAGACCTCTATCATACCCTTTCAGGCATCCCTCTTCTAGACTGAAAATATTTGGATTATCTTTGCCGCTCTTTGATAGTTTTCCAGTGCTATAGTAACCTTACTGAAACTGGGGCTGCAGAACTGCGTGAAGTTTTTAAGCTATATGTGAGCCATGGATTTCTTCTGTGGTACACTGACATTGTCTGTTCGCTATTTTTTCCTAATATTCCATTATCTTTTTTATTTCCATCTACCCTAACCTCAAGATATCATTTCTAGTTTTTAATGGACAACTGAAAAACTAATTTAATCTATAAGTTAGGATTATTTTTTCTGATGTGGATCATTTCTCATGTGCTGTTTTATTGCTCTCTTAGTCTTAGTAAGTTCTTCAGCAGTTTGTCACAACCGGCCCTGAATCGTAACATCACTAAACTTGATCACATAACCAGTCTTTCACTTTTTCAGGGTGTTTATAAGTATGTTGAATTGTGTAACTTCAAAATAGATCTGTGGAACTCCACTAACTGATATGGCTTTATTGAATTGACTTTTTGCTCCTAGCCTCAGTTTCTTATTCTTTAGTCATTCTTTTCAATCCATGCAATGACTTTTCCTCTTAAATTGTGGCTTAGTTTCCTTAAAAGCTATCAGGGAGGGACTTTGTAAAAATCCTTATGTATACCTATCAACTAGGTTGGTAGATTTTGAAAGGATCTGATAACAGATCCATGGTGACTCTCATATTGTTTCAAGAGTATCATATTTAGACAGATGTCTGCTCATTCTTTATTGCAGTCTACCAATTTGTCCAGCACAGATATTTGGCTAAAAGGCCTTGGATAGCCCTTGAACTCTTATTCAAAGTTGACATCACATTTTTAGTTTCTCAGGGCATTGGCAACAGGGCAATTTGAAGCGAAATGATAAATGCCACTTTTCCTGAATCAACTGTTTCACCATTTCCTTTATAAGTCAGTTGAATACTGTCTAATAATGGCAGTTTGTTACTCCACACAATGTCAGATTTCTTTAATAAAAATTTCCTGCAGTGGCTTCAGTTTCAGCAAAATCCTCTGAAATGTCCCCAATAGAAGATACACATTGGAATCACTTTGGTTTCCTCCAGAGTGAATACCAATGCAAAGAATGCAGGTAGCTTCTCTGAAATGTTTGTATATTCACTGTCTGTTCTTTTGCTATCTGCAAACACTCTTATAAAACTCACAATAGTTGACTGCCTAATTTACTACTCTGTTCACAGCAAGCCGTACTAGTCATTTGTCACACTGTGCTATTCTTTCTCCAATCTTTATGCCATTTCCAGACATTATCACAGAATCATAGAATAGTTTGCGTTGGAAGGGACCCAAAGTATCATCTAGTCCCAACCCCCTGCCATGGACAGGGATACCTTCCACTAGAGAAGGTTGCTCAAAGCTGCATCCTCCTGGCCTTGAGCGCTTCCACATGCGGGGCAGCCACAGCTTCTCTTGGGCAACCTGTGCCAGTGTCTCACCACCCTCATAGTGAAGAACTTCTCCCTAATATCTAATCTAAATCTCCCCTCTGTCATCTTAAAGCCAGTAATTCTATTTCTTACTATGTCTGCATTAAGTAACACCATAGAATTGAAATAATCTAACATGTTTCTTCTTTAGTAGTAGTTTAACTAGTGCTGGTAGAATAGACTACATTTTGTATTAAATGCGTTTTCCTCATTTGTTTATTATTTGCTTTATTTTAGGGAGGTAATCCAACAGCCACTGTGATTGCATTGTGTTCAATGAAAGATTTCAATCTGGCTCAAGAAACTTGTCAGATGGCCATCAGAGACATTGGATGTCTTGAAGTGTTAATTAATTTGCTTGATACAGAAGAAATTAAATGTCAGGTAAGTAGCTTTGTCAAATAGAGCAATGAATATGTCTTTCTATTAGAATATTTTTTCAATTTCCAAAGTTATATGGTATAAAGAAAATGCATTTCTTTTCTCATTTCTGCATTTTTTGGATTTGAAGGATTTTTTAGGAAAAAAAATCTGTTTCTTTTACTTTGTTTCCTTCTTCTAACTCAATTTTATAGATAAAATGTTTTAGATAGCCCATAATTTTAAATAACTTTTCTGTTTATATATACTTAAATAATAATTAACTTGTTATCTTCCATTATTTAGATTGGTTCATTAAAAATCCTCAAGGAAATTAGTCAAAATACACTGATCAGACATGCAATTGCAGATCTTGGGGGCTTAGAGATCATGGTGAAAATACTGGACTCCCTGGACAGAGAACTAAAATGTTTGGCAGCTGAAACAATTGCTAATGTTGCTAGATTTAAACGAGCACAAAGAACAGTTAGGCAGCATGGAGGAATCAAGAGACTGGTAAGCAGACATTAAAATTTATATCCTTTTCATATGAATGTTTTTGTCCAAAAAATGTGTAGCGTTATATACATGGTTCTTGTGGTAGTCTTTACCGTGATTAAAAAGGAGTATAATATCAAACTTCCCTGTAGATAATTAACAAATTAACAAATTTTTTTTTTAGGTTGGGCTGTTGGACTGTGATGCAGTGGGTTCAACCAGTCTAACACCATACCAAGCAAAAGATACTGAAATGGCACGTTGTGGGGCTTTGGCACTCTGGAGCTGCAGCAAAAGCACCAAAAATAAAGAAGCAATCCGTAAAGCTGGTGGCATTCCATTATTAGCTAGATGGCTCAAATGTTCACATGCAAGCATCTTAACTCCAGTAGTGGGGACGCTACAAGAATGCGCCTCAACAGTAAGTAAACACATGGAGTTAAGTTATTTCTAATCATTAAACCAGTTGGCTACTAAAAGGAAGCATTGCATTTGACTGTCACTTAAACCAGGGCCATTACCCATCTGGAAGCTGATGCTTTGTGTGGCCAAAGTGTTTTGAGAAAGTCACAGCTTGTAATGAAGTAAAAACCACATCTTTTTTTATTTAAAAGATGAGGAGTGCTTTGTGAAAGAAAATATATGGAAATGAAATCCTTAATCAGCTTTATTTTTCTTATCTCTTTTTTTTTTTTCATCATACTTGACAAGTTTGGCAACTTAAGATGCTATATTCTGGTTAATCAGTACATTTAAATTCCGCAAAGCTAACCTGCAGGTGTGGCCAGGAACATCCAGTGCAGTGCAGGACAGTGTGGTTTACAGTATCCTTGTGAATTGAGTAAGACGATGTCTGACCAATTGCAAAAAGAAGAAAGGAATATACGTGATTTTTCTACAGATTTCCTTGGCAGGTTTCACAGCTTTGAGTATATTCACTTTGTAGATTTGAATACAATTATTTTGTACCATTGCCAAGTAAGATGAGTGGTTATTTTTCTATTTGTGGAATCTTACTTGACATTAAGGTAAAAAATATACATAAGTTCTCTGTGAATTTGAAACATGGAAGACATGATTTTTCAAAAGATTTTACATTATAAAACACTTTGTATTTTCAATATTAGCTTCTTGAAACTGTGCAGGTTTGTGCATGTTCCAGGAGACAGCAACCTGGCAGATTTTATTTTCAGTAAGTCTGTATTGAGAAGGAGAAGTTTTTGAGATTTCTTATTTGGCTGAATTTAGAAATAACACTAAATGCATCTCTTACACAGATGTTTTCCCTCTCTTAAATAATGGTCCTCTGTTACAATGACTATGGGTTAAAATCTGGAAGAAAAGATCACAAAAAAAAATTAAGAACAGGTTTTTCTAACCTTGTTCTAGGAATAGATCTGTTGTTGAAGTGAGTGCGTACTTCATAATCCCATTCTGAAGCATCTTTTTCTTCTTTGGCTCTGAGCAGGGAGTCTGGACACCTTTCAGAATATTCTGTATTCTGTTTAAGCCAGGTGGCTACAAAATCAGCATTGCAGCACCTGGTTTTAAATGTGATTTTGAAGAGCACTGCAGAGAATTTATGTATTTGATTAACTTAGAGAAGAGAATAGTTATTTTCAAGGCAATGCAGATGACTTGTACTTAAAATATAGTACAAGGCTTCTCAAAATCAAAGCCTACAATTGTAGCACTGTATTATTACTGTGACTGGTATTATTAACTGTTAATATACAGGATTTATAAGATGCAGTTTATCTTTTTAGCCAAGTTACAGACTTGCAATAAAGACAGAAGGAATGATTGAGTACCTTGTGAAAAATCTGAGTAGTGAACATGAGGAGCTTCAGATGCATTGTGCAAGTGCCATATTTAAGGTAATTGTGTTGTTAAAATCGATAGATCAGTACCAGGATTAGCCCTTTGTTTTCATGTGGTTGTCAGTTTTAATATTTCTAGTTTTACTATTTCTCTAATGTGTTTACAAAAATGTTGATGGTCTTTGGATAATTCATATGAGAATATTTTAGCTGTGTGTTTAATATTGCAATTAAGTTCCTATTTGCTTTTCTTGTGTGCAAGCCCTAAATTGCACAGGTAGCAATGGAGAGAGGTAGAACATACAGTGCAAAGAGCTGCTTTAGTTTTTTGTGGGATTTTTGCTCACAAAGAGGACAATGTGACAGTATAAGCACTGCTGCATATACAAGAGCAGTTACCATCAAACTCTTAGTCAGTTGTTAGCGTATTCAGACACTTTAATATAATGTTTTCTTCTGTATTAGCTTTTACTAGTTACAACATAATACACCTAGCTTTTGAAGAAATAATTTTACCCATTTCACATTGTATATATATTTAATTTTTCTTGTATAGTGTGCAGAAGATAAAGAAACACGTGACCTGGTTAGACAGCATGGAGGTCTACAGCCACTATCTGTTCTGCTTGCTAACTCTGAAAACAAACAACTTTTAGCAGCTGTGACAGGAGCAATTTGGAAATGTGCAATCAGTGAAGAAAATGTGGCAAAGTGAGAATTTAATTTTACATTATCATGTTTTGATTTTATGGGCCTCTATTGTTTTCAAAATTGTTATGTCATTACTCTTCAAAAAAGTACTTTAGAATACGTTGGGCTTTCATCTCTGGTTTCATAGTGCCACCTGAGCTCATCAGAGTATGGTGGAGAGAGCATTAAGTTCCTAGAATCTTAAGAGTCAATGGGGACAATTGGTGCCTCTAAAAAATAGTTAAGATATAGGACATTGAGTACTAGCAGGTACTAAATGGAGGTGTACTAGCACATGCTAAATGTTTAATACATAGGGGCATCTGATATCCCCACTCCTCTCTGTAGTTTACAAACCAGAATCACTGCTGCATGATAGAGTAGTTAGCACACTTAGAGTTCATGTTTTATGCCAAGACAGAGAGAACAAATTATCTCATTCTAGGGTAGATATCTAATACATGTTAGGTTCACCTACTTTAGAAATATATACTGGAATCTAAGATAACGGAATCTAAGATAATTAGGCCAGACTCCTCTCTCCTTGACTACAGAAGGGGCTCAGAAAAGTATCTCAAGCTGTACACCCAACTTGCAAATGAGTGGAATTAATTGATGAGAGTCCTACAGTAGGTACCTAAACCTCTCAGCATCAGGGTCCTGAGTGGTTATCTGAGAATGTGACAGCAGGAGTTACCACCCTCCACCTTTCATGGAACAGCTTAATGATTGGGAATGCTCAATCTTCACATCTGAAATTAATGTATCATATTCATTCACCATACCTCAAAGAAAAAAAGCCTGCTTCACTGGAGTATATGCTAGATTGCCTACTGAAGTTGTGCTGCTTGGTGCAGAGGAATGTAAGATTCATAGGCTGGAATGAGTATCAGTAAAAGGTAACCTCTTCCTGCAGCCCTGATTTAGGTGTACTATGCTGGACTAGCAGATATGGTAGATAACTGATGGATAAAAATCTCAAAGAATCTAGTAATAAGGGTTTATAGTCTGGCTTTTTACTGTCCTAAATGAGTTCCCAAGCTGTTGGTTTACAAAGCTATGGTCTTTACATACTCTGCTTCTGTGCTTTTTGCATTCTTGATTGTACAGTAACCTGTCTTTTCAGAATGGTATATCCTTTTTTGTGGGCTTTGAGTGTCTGCACAAGAGACATCCAGGTTGTGAATCAGTGAGTGATGAGATGGACTGAATGGCTTCATCTATACTAGTAAACTGAACTGGGCCAAACCTTTAGGGTTAAGGCACTATGTTATGATTCTCCATACTGTTTAACTTTTTATCACAGTCCCTTGCACAGTTTGGCTGGTGTCAGCAAGTGCTCTCCCAGACAGTGCCCAGACACTCTTTGGGAACTGTTCAGACAACAGATTGTTTCCATTAGGCAGAATGGGTGAGGCCACCCTGAATTGTGAGGGTAAGAGATTTTAGTCATATGGATGCTGTGTTGTGCTCATTTTCCTCAGGGCTAGAGAATGAGCTCTCGCCTGTTTTATTTATTATACTAATAAATAGCTGTAGCAAATAATTCTGCCAAATGCAAATAGATTTTTTCTGAGCTACTCACACATCCTTGGCAAGTGCTTGATGCTCCACAAAGGTTACTAGCCAGGCACAGCTCCAGGCTTGAGCTGAATTAGTGTATCATGTAGTTCTGAGTCTGAAGCAGTAAACCCTATCCACTCGCGATGGGAGGGCACTGCAGAACAGGGAGGGAGAATAATATGAAAACACGTAAGTAGATCTAGAGGGATGAGCTTGAGTCTGCATGAAGCTAGGACTGTCGAACCCTGCTGGTTCCTGCACGTATCTTCAAACTACTCCACAGTATTTCCTATACCTGAAGTACATTGCTGAGATGTGCTGACTCAGCAGTGAGCTGGTACAGGTGCCTGGGACTGACTAGCTCAGGTTCCAGTTTGCAAGCAAGCAGCCGTACTGCTTCTGGACACAAGATGGCCCGAGCCAACAGCTCTGTCAGAGCATAGCCTGCCCATTGCAGAGCCAGCTCATACCATTCCATCTGTAAAGCAGCTGATGTGTAACACAGATAAAGTAGCCAGAGAAAAACAGGGTATTTTTTTAAATCGTTTGCTTGCTTTGCTGCTCTTTTTCATGCTGTTGATGTTTTCTCTTTGAAAATTAGAGATATTTCCAAATTATAGCAAACAGAAAAATTTTCTCGTTAAGCAAAGACTTGAATGATGAAAAATGAAAGTTTCTTATTCCTCAGTTACTTCAATTGTTATACTGATAAACCAGCTTGGAAAGATTAACTTTTATTGACGCAGTTCTAGTTCTGCCATCAAAATACAAAAAATACTATACCTTCTGTATGAAAGAAAAGCCACATGTACAACTGATTGTTCGGGCTGCTCAGCATGGAGAAGAGAAGGCTGTGTGGTGACCTCATTAGCAGCCTTCCAATATCAGAAGGGGGCCTACAAGGATGCCAGAGAGGAACTCTTCATCAGGGACTGTAGCAATAGGACAAGGGGTAATGGGCTCAAACTAAAACAGGGGAAGTTTAGATTAGATATAAGGAAGAAGTTCTTTACTGTGGGGGTGGTGAGGCACTGGAACAGGTTGCCCAAGGAAGTGGTAAATGCTTCCCTGGCAGTGTTCAAGGCCAGGTTGGACAGAGCCTTGGACGACATGGTTTAGTGAGTGGTGTTGTCCCTGCCCATGGAACTAGATGATCTTAAGGTCCTTTCCGACCCTAACTATTCTATGATTCCAGGGTTACTGCTGAGCAGTGCTTACACAGGGTTGAGTCCTTTTCTGCTTCTCACTCTAACCCACCAGTGAGTAGTCTGGGTGTGCACAAGAAGTTGTGAAGGGACACAGCCAGGACAACTGACTTCAACTGACCAAAGGGTTATCTCATACCATATAAAGCTGGGGGAATAAAAAGGAAGGGTGGGATATTCAGAGCGATGGTTTGTCTTCCTAAGGAACCATGACTCGTGATGGAGCCCTACTTTTCTAGAGATGACTGAACACCTGACTGCAATGGAAGTAGTGAATTAATTCCTTATTTTGCTTTCGTGCACAGCTTTTGCTTTATCTAATACACTGTCTTTATTTCAACCCATGAGTTTTCTCACTTTTACCCTTCTGATTTTCTCTCTATCTCATTTGGGGGCAAGAAAGCAAACAGCTGTATGGTGCTTAGTTGCCAGCTGGGTTTAAACCATGACAGTGTCACACTTCCAAGACCTGAAATGGTTTATCTGTATTGTGGTTTCTTCAACAAGCTAATTTACATACAGAAATTAAACATTGTGCTTCAATTATAATGATACTTTAATTATAAAATTAAACTTACAACAGTAACATACTGAAAATAACAACTTTGGTTTTATTGCTGTTTTTTAGATTTCGGGAATATAAAGTCGTAGAAACTTTGGTAGGACTGCTTACTGATCAGCCTGAAGAAGTCCTCATAAATATCGTTGGAGCACTGGGAGAATGTTGCCAGGAGACAGTAAATCGAAGTACTATCCGTAGATGTGGGGGAATACCACCTCTAGTGAAGTTACTTACTGGAACTAATCAGGCACTACTTGTGAATGTCACCAAAACAGTGGGAGCTTGTGCAACAGAACCTGAAACTATGATGTAAGCCATTCATATTCATAGCATTCTAAATTTTGAAGGAAAAAAGTAATGTAGTAATTCTAACTCAAATATAGTCATCCTAATCTGACTTAAAAGGATGCTTTACTTCTTGTTTTCCACAGGGATGTGTGGGTTAGTTACATTCTACTGTAAAATGTGCTATATATTAAATAATAATAATAAAGGAAATATATAGAATGTAAAGCTTTAGCATTTTGTGGAAAATCAGATAAACCTTTAGTAAACTGATTTGTCTTAAAGTTAAAATTCAAAATCAGAGAGCACCATTTTAAAGTGCTATATGATAGGTACCTGTTTTGCCCTGTCCTTTTACATCTGTTCTCACATCATAAATAATAGCCTAAATTAGAGAAAGCAATTCTAAAAGGAAATGTGCACATTTGCTGTCATGAAAAATACTTCTAAAAATTTTAACGTAGAGAATTATTTGTATTTTATCTATTTTTTCCCTTTCTATCATTCCTTTTATGAACTCAGACTTTCTTTGGACTCTTTTCTCCCCTCTTATTGCTTTGCAAAACCAAAGAAAAAGAATTCCTTTTTACTGAGAAAGTTGGTGCTTTCTTTGATTTTTGTGATGTAGATTTGTGCAAATGAAAAAGATCCTTGAGTTTTATGATAGTTTCAGATAAATGCTGAGGTTGGCATTTGCTGTGCTCTACTGTTCCCTTACAGGGATGTTTACATCAAAATTCTTGGCATATTTCCCTCCCCATACATAAGGAAGGTCAGAAAGAGAGTTTTATTAAGCTCCTCCTGTTCTGATTTGCATAATTCACTTGATATTCATATAGCAGTGCAGGGAATTCCTTTCCTGAATAGGGCTTTTGTTTTCATGCTTTGGCTGTCACCCAGTGGCAAAAGGCTAGATGGTACACAACTGTAAACATGGGTTGTGTGAACAGTTAGCCATGTAGCATGAAAATATAAATAGATGAAATCACTTTCATGACATACCTTACTAAAAATCAGCCTTTGGAGTAATATGTTAACCTTACAGAATTAGTGTTGTAAACCAACTGAGAAATTTGAATGCCAATAAATACAAATTTATAAGTCTCAGAGATACTCCAATACTCAGGAATATCACTTGTAGCTGTATGTATGTGTATGTGTGTATATGTATGTGAGTATGGATACCTTCATACTGGAATGTGGTCAGTATAAGCACAAAAAATAACACATGTTGCTGCTAAAATTGTGATAGAACAAAGTCCATCTTGTTTTTAAGAAGGAAAGAGTACAGGTTGTTTGAATCAAAATTTTACAGAGTTTGCAAAGAGTGGACAAAGGAATCAAATGTCGAATTTGGTTCATCTGTAAAAATTTCTCTTTTGAAGATTCTCAACTTTTAAAATGTTTTTAAAAATATTTTAAAACATTGGCAAGTAAGCAAGATCTTGGACCAAGAGGAGAATATACTTTCTACTACTACAGAAAAACTGTTATACAAAAATTATTATTGCTAGCAAGACTGTGACATGTACCTGGGGGAATGGTTGGACTTGCTGATCTTAAAGGTCATTTCCAACCTGGTTGATTCTATGATACTATTGTGCTAGTTAGACTTGTAGTAATAGAAGAGATAATGCTGCTATCTTTTCCCAAGGCATGTTTCATCCAGGTGTGGATCAGATTGATACCAATCCAGCAAAATATTTAAAAACAATGCTTAGTTAAAACATTTGACACCAGCACATTGACACCGGACACTTCTTGCTTGGTTGAGTGCTCTGCCTCTCACAGAGTTAAGAGCACTTCACACACACACACCCCCCCCCCCAAAAAAGGGACATCCATTCCTCTCCCTTCTCCTCCTCTCAGATCAGTACAACAGGAATTGAAATAGTAGCTCCTCATCCAAACTACTCTCCTTTTTGGGAAGAGTAAGTGACCAAAGACATGAAAATACATAGGCTGTTTTACGGAATTTACAGAATTGGGGACTAAAACAATAAGTAGACTTGTTAGAAGCTACTGTGGAGTTCATTCTCTTTCTGTAAACATTTTTTGGAGTTCTTAAGCAAAAGAACAGACCTTAACAAGGATGTGGAGATGTGCCAAGGTTGTCTTCCAGAACGAAGCAAAGCCAAGCCACTTGTAGCCTTGAAGTATATACATGATACTTAATGATGAGCGATGAGAACTTCCCTTTGCAGGTTGGTATTTTGCTGTTTCTGGTCTTCCTGGTTCATCTGGCTGGAGGCCTATTACATTACTTATTTCATAATCAGTTATTCCTCTGAATGGCTTGAAGGGTTCTAGATAAGTTGTTGTCTACTATTAGCTTTTCTCCTGACAAATTTGGCTGATGGGTCTGGAGGCTTGTTTTCTTTGTCATCTGTTACAGACAAGCGCTGTTTAAAGAGTTACTTTTTTAATTTGGCACTACAGAAATTCTGAAAACTATGATGATTTTTCTGGATTCTGCTATCATTGACTTTCATATGTACTAGAAGCACAGAACAAAGCAGGAAAATCTAAAGAGAGTATCAAGCCCTTGTAAGGATTGAGAATTTTCAGATATTTTCTTATATTTTATTAGCTGTGTGTTTAACAAAGTGTGGCTTAGAGACTAAATATTCAGTTGAGCAGCCTTCTATTTTGAATGTTGTTATACTTGCAGCAGTAGCTATGTGGAAACCATTCAGACCGAGACTGGTGCTCATGTAGTTTCTGTGAATGATTCAAGGGTATGTAAGGAAGACGATGGGATTAATATAAGAAATAAAATAATAATATGGGTTATATAAAAATGAAGAACATTCTACGAAGCAGTGCAGTTAACTTCTGAGGGAAATATTGTATGTTTATCATATGTTCCATGGAGGAAGACTGCACTGACAAAGAGGTACTAGAAGGTCAGCAAAGGTGGATCTACAGCTTCTATATGGCTTTTACATATTTTGTCTCTGCCATGTTTACAAGTTGACATTTTAACTTCTACAACTACTGTGGAAGTAGTTGCAGAAGTAGAAGGTACAATAATGTTACATTTCTGCACTAAGCCTTTCCTTTAAGGCAACATCAAGCCATTAAATGGTTCTTTTTGACTCTATTGAGCTATATAAATTAAAGAACAGCATCCAGCTTCTCTCACAGCAAAAGATAAGTCAACTTATCTTACAAAAAGCATAACTATGTGACTGAACTTCCTTACTGTTATGTGGACAGCATGAAGCTGTTCTCCATATTCAAGTTGGCTGCACAGCCACTGGCAGAGATGCTGCTGCGTACATCTTTTATCTTTTTTAAAAGATGTATTGCTTTTGAGGAACTTTTTACATTACTCATTTTCTCTTACTAAAAACAGAGGACTAGTGCTTATTCTTTAACTGCCACTAGATTATCATTTGCTCTTTTAATTTTGAAAATCCATAGACTTCATCTCTAGCATTCAAAACTGAGGGTTTGGAATCTTAAAAACTAAAATGTACAATTATTTTAGCCAAACAGATGGAGTTTGAGTCATTGGTATATAATACTATTTATCAAAGCAGTCCACAGTAACTAGTGAAAGTTTTAAGAAACATGCTAAATTGTGGTTTCGAAAAAGACGAGATTACATTCTGCCAGAATTAAACCCTGTAATCTTACAGTGAGCACAATACAGAGTCAGTATAACTTTGTTTATTTACATTTGTATTTGTGGTCTATATTGGCAGGCAATTAAACTAGAGTTCTCAAAAGTTCTGGCAAATAACACTGTAACAGAGAAAGATGATAGCTATGACAAACAGATGTCTAGGCTGTGTGTATGTATGTGTGTTTAAGAAATTCATGTTGAAGTTTCTACTGGAAATGTTCAATATTAAGTTTGAATTTGAGAGATCAGTACTATTTCAGATTAACAGCATTGCTAGTTTCAGATATGTAAAAAAGACCAAACTAAATTTCTAAAATTGTGACCCATGTCTTGCACAGAGATCTCATGGTGTTCACTGATGTCATGATACCAAAGTTCTTAAATAAAATGAACTGAAGAGTCTTTATTAAACAACTGTTGATTGTAAACAGCCAACGAAAGTTATTAGAAAAAATACCTTGTTAAATTATCTGCACTAGGTCAAATAGCAAGTACTAATTCACTGTAACCTAGACATTACAGAACTCTCTAAATGGGTTTTATTGCATTGGTATTATTTGCCTATGAGACGTATTCTATGTACACTTTAGATCAGCTGTTCTGTGTGGATACCAGGAAGATATTTTGCTCATACATCTTCTAGTTACCTTTTTTGTAGAAGTGATGTCACCTGCATACCCCTTCACCTGTGCTCTAATCATATCTGACCAGCACAGGAGTGTGTGATAGGAGCATCCCTTCACTCCAGCTGTTTCTAACTGCCAATACAACTACTTTTGGTTATTTTGAAGGAGAATAATCTGTACCTTGTTCTAAATATATCAATGATCAAATAAGAACAGTCTATGACGAGGCACAGAGCTTTGAATCAGAAGAGGCCAGCTGGCCTTCTTGGTCGAGGCCTATTGGGAGATGCCTCTGTTACGTTAAGGTATAGAGCCACAAGAGTTCAGAATCTGGCTTCTTGCTTCTGAACTCTGCATATTTAAGTGTTGTTATGTTACTTATAGTGAAGCACCAGACAGCAATTACATATGATAAAGTTTTTATTTCTACTTTAGATGACTTTCATGTCTGTTAGGATTTTGACTACTGATAGTGTTCTGCACATTAGATACATTACATACATACAATTCAGCTATTCGGTAAAGCAGTTAAATATTTGAACTTTATAAAATGAACTAAATATCGTATTATTTCAGCTTATATGAGATTCCCTTCAGCTTTCAAAGAAAAAGTTCTATATCTTTATTAAAAGACCTGTCCTTTAACAGCCCTGTGAGTGATTGCTTAATGCTGATTTAACTGTAGTTTAATTTTATCATCATAATGTCAAAAAAGTATTATAAAATATATCATTACATGACTGTAAACACAGAGTGATTAACGTAGTAGCCATGGATCGATACAGAATTGAATGCCAATGAAAGTAAATTTTAAGGTGTGTTTGCTTGTATTTAATGTGGTAAGTAGCTTTATTACAGCATCCTGCTAATAATGTCATAATAAATCCGGGGAAGAAAATTAGATACAAAAGCCATATACAAAAGCAAATTGGAATATTGTTATACCATCAGAGCTGAAATTTGCAAGATTACAGGTATATTTTCCCATTTCTTTCTTTTTTTTATTTGTAAAGACATACATTTGTATTTTTGTCCACTTTAAAAAGGACTTTTCACATAGAAAAGATACTAATGTCTAAGCACTTTTATAGAGGAAACATTTTTCAGGGTCATTTATTTTAGTATTTCCTTGCTTTTATAGCAGATATGCTCATTTAACACCCATTTTCTTCATTCGCTACACTTTATAGTGAAACCATAGAAAAATTGAATTCTTCAGCAGTGCTTTCTTAACTGGCAAATATATGTTATCAGCAAGATGAAAATAAAGAGGTTTGTGCTTGTATGGTGATTATACAACAATATGAGAGTATAAGAGCATAGTTCTTTTCATGTAGAGTTCTTTTCATTGGAGTTAATCTAGCGGAACTGGGAGAAAGCAGTAATCAGTGATGAACAATGTAATTTGGAGATTTGTTAGTTTAGTCCATGCTGGGTTTTAGTTTGATTTTATACATGTTGAATGGTCGGAGGACTACACTTTTAGGTATTCTGTTCTGTTGGGTCTAGGACAATTGGTCTTTCTGGTCCTCAAGCAAAAGTCACTACTCTTCTTAAGAAAATGAAACATAAAGTAAAGCTAGTTAACCTTTAAAAGCTGAAGAGAGAACAAGAAATCTGAAAAGAAAATGAAAGTAAACTTTAAATTGAAAAGGAAGCTTTAAAAAAAATAGAAAGGAAAGATAAATCAACCTAGAGTTTACTTTTTAAAGTATGGTGGAAAAATCTGAGCTCAGTGTTTGTCTTCTATCTCTTGATTTTTATATACTGGTTGGAGCTGGGTCATTTATATTTAGCCTCTCTTGGGAGGAAGTACCTCATGTTGGTAAATGGTCAGTACTCTGCTTGACTAGTAGAAAGATTCATGGGTTATTTTTTAATTAATTCCAATATAGGAAAAAATTCCTTGTGCTTTCTGAAATGACAGGAAAGTGATGTTAAAATTGTTTAAAAGTGTTCAAGGTTTGGAGAGGTTGAAAAGCTTGTTTCGAAGCTTTTATTTACATCACAATTACTATGTGAACATGTATATGTATGTATGTAATCGTGTAGTTTGTTATCATGCTGTTTTATTTTGTTAAGTTGAGACTTCTGAATTTGTCATTTGAATGATGATTTTCTTGCAGCTGATTTGGAGCTGAGTAAAATAAAATAAGCTGTACTAAAATTAGCAGATCTTAAAAAACTTACAATGTCTCCTCTTAACTGTAGTTTTGTGCAAAAAGTATTCTTTTGAAAAACATATTTAACCAGTTTGTATCAAAGCATCATGAATAAAATCCTTGGTTATTTTAGTCAGAGTTCATGTGCGTAATTATTATTTCTGCTGCAAATGGTGATAGGATTACATACAAAGCTGATTTTACAATTGGTTAAAAAAATTCCTGGCAAACCTATATATACTGAACACAAATGAGATGTTTTATCTGATGATTTTAAGCACAATCTGTATTTAGATGTACCTTGTATTTACAACTAAATATGTAATTTTTTACTCTTTATACAATTGGATTTTTACTTTTGAGGTTAGCCATTGAAGGTGTACTTGCTTTTCTTTACCTTCAGCTCATCTGCTTTGGGTTTAACATATCTTTTTGAAAAAACGGCATGTGTGTAAAGACCATTAAGTCTTGTTTGACCTTCCTTTCCATTTAAGGTATTCACTGGACCCTAATGTGAAGTTATGATCCCCAAGCCTGATTGATATGTAAACATAACACAGATGGTCTAGAGATGATTCTGATGATAATTCATTTTTCAGCTAGTCGCAAAAATACTTTGATTACAGTGTGTTTAAGTAATTATGACATAGCGTTCAGTGTTAGTCCTGTTGGTAAGGAACACATGGGGAAACAAGTTACACGTTATTCATGCCCAACAAAGGATGCACTGTGGTGTGACCATTTTAATTTCTAATGCTAGATTAGAAACATAGTGTTTTAAAATATGTCATAGAGTAAGGTAAATACATTAGGCATAGACTGAATAAAATGTTAAGTACATAGTTTTGGGCATAAATATTTGTTTTGGAAAGTATTTGTTACTATATGAAAGAAGCCAGTATGCTTGAATTCAGATTTAACTTTGCATGCAGATCGTTAAAAAGTCACATGCTTGTTTTCATGTTTATATGAGTCCTGGTTATAATATAGTTTATCTTCTATAAGAATTTTGAATGACAGTGCTGAGAAAAAAGTAAACCACATTAATGAGATTTAGTTAGAAAATGTATTCTATCTTTACATCATTTGTTCACACCCATCTGCTGTAGTAAGCACTGTTTACTGAGTATGTTGATGGCAATTAGCTGACTATAAAACACAAGCACTTACATAAAGCAAAACAGTATGTTAAAAAAAATCATACTAGTACTTCTTAAAGCAATGTTCCAAACAAACATTTTTAAAATTTAATGTTGTCTACTCTGTAATTAATTATCTCTTCATTATCTCCGTTGTTTCTGCAATAGAATAATTGACCGTCTAGATGGAGTTCGTTTGTTATGGTCATTGTTGAAAAATCCTAATCCAGATATTCAAGCAAGTGCAGCCTGGGCTATTTGTCCTTGCATTGATAATGCTAAGGTAAGAAAGTATTTAAAGGAATAGTTTTGTGTTATATATCCCCATATATAATTTTTATATTTGGATGATTTACAGCAGTACTTTGCTGTTTGCTCTTTACACTCTCTTCGTGTCATTCTGATAATTGCTTAATAAAATGGTATATTCACTTTTCAAAAGTGAATAGTCCTCCATCTAGCACTCATTATAGCATTCTGGTTTGCCTTAACAGTGCTTGCTGTATTTGCAAAATATATTTTGATAACTTAATCAGGACCTAAACTTATTGTTCGCATATAAAGCATGCTGAAAATCTGATAATGCTGAAAACAGATTATTTTTTTTTTTTTACTCACAGGCTATTAATAACAGAGATAGTTGTAGTTGTTCTCCACTATGAGGTACTTCAGCTGTGTTCTCAAGAGACCATCATTTGGTTTCAGAGCGTATTTCAGACTCGGTGCCAATGTAATCCTTAGATTTTCTGCTCAGACTGCCAACAAAAAGTGCCAGTTGTGAATAGTGGTTGTTGTGCAGGTCAGTTGTACACAGAAGACTGAGCTATTCATTTATTTCATGTCAGTTTCCAAATAGAGATAAAATGGCAAGTATAAGCTGTAAGTCATCTGCACTGAATTCTTACCACTGACTGACCTGTGGTAAAAATAAATGGGGAAAATTTTGTTTCCCAGTAGAAGTTTCCTAGAATACTAAGTAGTCTTTAATCCATAATCCCAGTACAGTAATGTCTTCCATTTCTAATTTACGTCTGTATTTAATGCAACTTCTGCATCTTCTCTCTACTATACCACAAATATATATCCTTCTACTTGTCATTTGAGATCCTGACTATCCTGAAAGAATGGAAATTCCTTCAAAGTGCTGGACACCCTTTGCATTCTTTGCAGGCAGTGTTTCCTATTTGAAACTGAACACTGTAAGGTTGCTTTTGGTTTATATAGATGGATGAATGTAGATACATGGATGAAAGTATTGTGAGAATATTTGGTCTTGATTTTTATAACTTAAGCATTTTCTATTTCTTTACAATGATTTTTAAAATGGCAGCTTGCTTGCCATGTTTCAGAAATGCTGGTTATCTTCCCTGCCCCCTCCCCCCCACTTTTTTTTTTTTAATGTGCACTATAGTATAGTAATTTTCTTTGTTACCAAATGGTGGGGTGTATACATTTCTTCTCTGTCAAGATATGACTATACCTTCATCTCTCTTGAACAATAGTCCTATGTAACTAAACGTTAAAATATTGCTTGATCTCAGTACTGAGGTAATACTTATCACGTGTAAGACTCTTCGTCCTATAGTACCAGAGTAGAACAGCACGTTTCTAGAGCTTCCACTAAAAGCACAATCAGGGACAGCTACTGAAATTATAGACTATGTGGATTTTTGTCTTGGATTTTTTTTTTTCCCTTGGAGTATTTGATGAGTGTAAGCTATGTACATCCTTAGTGTAGCCATCCTCCTTTCATCTCTCTTGGCTGCCTGCGCAAATGCTAATCTGTGACCCCACAAAGAGTTCTTTGTGTGAGACTGAGACAGAGTGGTACACTGAAACAAACCTACCAATAATACCCTTTCCTCTGACACTGAATGGAAAGAAATATGTATAAAGCAGTGATTATAGCCACACTGTGGACGTGCAGTAACTGTTTCTATATAAACAAAATTTTGATTTTTTTATTCAAAGTTAATATTCACAAACTTACATGGTCTTCCAAGAAGCATGTGCAGTGCTTGATTCAAAAGCAGTAATAAGTTTATGACTTTAAAAAGTTTATGTGCATTCTGGCTTTTCCAAGCCTGTGCTTGGGACTGCAAACCATGTTTCAAATAGTTGTGATCTTGGAATCTGGATTTGTTTTCTTTTTGTGTTCTCTTGTGGAAGCTGTGATTCTCTTCTGTAGTGTGGAAGTTCACTGATGTACTAGAACTTGTTAATAGTATTAGAAACAAAGTTTTCTTACAACGTAGTACAGCATCCATTTTCTGCACAGACATTTTCTGTACTTACGAATACTTAAATCCAACTTAAAGGTTATTTCCTGTGATATTTATAAAATCTTAGAAGATAATCTATCATAATGATAGGGCTGTTGTTGTATGTGAGTATGTAGTATGTGAGTATATGATTCCATCTATCTCAAGCACTTCCCATAATCTGCTTAAGGTTGGAAAGTCTACCATTCCTGTTTCACCATTTGGAGGGTAAGAGCCACAAAGTCCAAGACTTGAATTCTCAAGATGTTTAAGTGCTAGCTGGTTTTGAGCTTTTGAGTCTAACTAGTTTGCCTGCTGTTAGACAGGAAGTTAAATTTGAAAAGGGAGAAGAATCCAAATTCCCATAACCCTAGAATATATATGTCAAGAGTTACAGTATGGTAGCCAGTTCAAAGTACTTCCCATAGAATAGAATTGTATCCGTGTGAAATAGCTGAAGAATGTTTTTTGTTACAGCAATACGATACACGTTAGTGATATTTAATCCATGACAGATCTGAGACTTTTTAAATAGAGGATATAAATTGTACATAGTACAATTTATGTAGTACATAAATATGTACTACTGTACATATGTACTGTAGTACATAAACTGTTACAGTTCTGACAGCCATAATATTGGTTTGGTATCAGTCATCACTTCTATATGCCAGGATTAGTTTTAAATGCTTTTAGACTTAAGAATTTCTTGTAGAGTGAAGATCTTACGGATAGGCTGACATTGCTATAACTTGGGGGGTAAAACTCTCCTAAGCAAATTTGCCCAGCACCTAAGAGTGCACCTCAGAGTCTTAGACAAATATCTCATTATCTTGGATAAATTAGTTCATACTTCTTTAAAATATAAGCCTTAAATAGACAAGAATGCCATTTATTCAAAGGAATTATCTTAATAGGAGCAGTTTCTTATTAATTAGTTCCTTACTTCCAAAAGGAAAAGTTACTACTGCAGGCACATGGTAATGACAAAGTGTAAGTGCACTGTCCAAGAAACACAAATGATTATGAAAAATGGCTAAGAAAAGTCTACTCAACGCTGTTGATGTTGGAACAGCAATATTTGGTTATGATGCTTCTTTGAAAAACAGTGTTTATAAAGTTCTCGCAATGTACATCAGAAAAATCTAGAGAAACTCTACAAAGATGTTATTTGGGCTATTATAAAATTCATCCAAAGGCATAGTGCCAATAAGAGGAACACTGCCAACCTGAGTTTGTATGAAAATACCTATTTCCTCACAGAGTAAGCTTGAAATAGAATGTGTTGAAATAAATCTAAGAAAAAGGAAAAAATAAAAAAGAGAGAAAGAAAAAGAGAAAAAGAAAGAAAAAGAAAAAGTTGTAGGGCTTATTTTCCATCCCCATATTTAGTAGTTTTGGGTACAAACATTAGGGTAGGAATGGTAATGTCAGGCATCATCTTTTTCTCTGTCCTTTGTTGGCGCTTGTGTACCAGCTTTCAACTTTCAGAGTTTCAGTTTTAGCTTTTATTATAGCTACAACTGTGAAGGCTTTCTTAAAGAACTTCTGGAAGCCAGCTACATATAAAGTCTATCAAAATAATTTAAGTAAACAGTCTGAGGCTGGAGATTTGTGAGAAGAGAGAGAGAAAGTTACTCTGTTTTCTTCAAATGTACTTGTAAAATGACATCTCACACTTTTCTGATAAAGCATGATTCTCTTCCCCCCTCTCCAAGTTATTGCATCCCTTTCAGCTCTGCAGTGGAATTTCATGGGTGTGATGAAGGATGATCAGCCATTTAAAGTTGTCTGTGTATTTCCTACATATGAGGAAAAAGAATGTCCATGATGATACAAAATAAAAAAAAAACAAAACCAAACCAGAATCAAAACTAAACTAGGTTTAAGAGAGAAGGGTCTTGAGATGGGTATGTATGGAGGTCAAGTAGCCTTCATGACTGCAAATGTATTATATAGTGAGGAAGTGATTTCTACTGGAGGCAGCAGTCTGGAGTTAACCTGTGGGTGGAAAATATGCTGCTGCTGACCCATGATATTTAGGATTCTTACACAGATTTTGCTTCTTATGGATATTTTAACATAGCCGTATGTATAAAACCACAGAAAATATATCTCTACTAAAAGTAACAAAGAAATATAGTTGAACTTGGAAATTCTTCTGATATTTAACAAATAGTAAAAGTATTTACTGTTTTAAATGAATTAAGATGCTTTGTTTACACATTTTGCTAATTTAAAACTGGTGTATAAGGATCAGTCATGGCCATAACACACACTGTTGTTCATTTGTTCTATATTTTAAAAAATTTACTTAAATAGTACCAATATATTTTTGTTTACGTACCAGTCTTTGGTTAAGCCTATAATGTCAAAATTCCCTACTTGAGTATGTACAGCATTTTCCAGTTTCTTTGTTTTCCTTGTTATGCTTCTTGCAATTCTATACAGAAACTTTGGCAGTTTAAACTCAGTGCTCTTACTTCTCTCTTTCCATTTTCCTATTTGTTTTCTCTAGACATTATAATTTTTTATGTCAGTCATACATACTTAACTATATTTGATCTAATTTTTATGCAGTTGTTAATCCCCGATATCTGGATGTGGACTTTCCAAATGTTTAAGCGTATGTTATGAACTAAACTTCAAAAGAGTACTATAAGAGAGAGAAAAAAGAATCCTGGCTTGTCCCTCAGGCCTTCCAGAGCCCCAGAGTCCTTGGAGGTTTAGGAAGCCCAGGAAGCCAGACCTGGCTTCGTGAGTCAATAGCTGACAGCCTTCCTTGCCAGGGTACATGCAGAGCCAGCCTATCCAGTGGTTCTTGACACAGGCTGCCTAATTTAGTGAACCAACTATCAGGAGCTGTTTGGGCATCCTATAGAAACATTACCCTGGAGATCCTGAATGGACTGACATAAATTGTCCTGAGGTGCTTAATGTCCACAAGTATAGGAGTCTAGTTCCTATAAAACACATAACCTGAAAGCTGGGAAGCAAAGGGAAACTAAGAGCATAACACATA